CCCGCGGCCGCCCCGGGTTTTCCGCGGTGCTCGGAGTGAGGCTCCGCTGCCGGACGTGTTTGCGGCGGTACCGGCTTGTCTGTGGTGCTTGTCCTTAGACCATGCCTTAGCCTCCAAGGCTCCCGATTCCCTTTGAAGTCAGAACACCGCGTAAAGCTGGCAAACCTGAAAATAATCTCTCCCAGCAACTGCCTTGTAATAATTGGTCTGGAGACTTCCGCCAGCTGAGGGATGGAGGTGCCTCTGCAGTCGGGTTTGCAATTCAGGAGGATTTTCTCTCAGCACGGGTGGATGAAGGTATGGGAAAGGCAATGTGTGTTTTTTCACCGTCTGTGTGTTTTACTTCAGGCGTTTTTCAGACTGGGTGGTAAAGCTGAAAGTGGAATTTGAAGCCAACACAACAGCCTGTATTAAAGTGAGCAGAGTTGCTTGCCCATTTTGATATGTTCACCTTAACTGTAAGGAAGCTTGAGGAAGGAGACAGTGTCTCTTCCAGAATATTGCATCCTAAGATTATGATTAAACTTTATAAGCTTGGAAGAGGTTTGTAAAATGTCTTGCTATTTTTCCACATTTCTTCCTAGGGTATAACTGCTACCGAAGGAGGATTTTAAAGGAGGTTTGATGACAACAAAAGCAAACTTTCCTGTGACAGCAGGATCTATAGTTGTCCCTTACGGGCATGTGGTCGGAAATGAGAAGTGGAGAGGGTCAGAGTTAGCCCAAAGGCTACAAGGTAAGCACAAACAAATGGGAAGAGGAAAAGCAGATCAGGCAAACCATTCCCCTCTATTGGCCAGAAGCGTTAAGAGCTGCTGGAATATGCTTTACTCTGTGCCTGACTGGTCCTATATTTGTGGTCCAGACTATGTTAGCAGGCTGGAAGATCCTGTGTGTCCTGTGTCTCTGTAAGCAGCTCCGTTTTCACACTTGCAGAGCACTGTAGGGAAGCAGCAGATTCTGCTGTTGTGGATATGCATCTCCACTGAACTCCCTTGAATTTACACGTATACTCTGCTGGCACAACAAACTAAATTATGATGATCCCTCCAGAAAAGCATGTGATATTTTTGTTCAAGCCCAGAGTTTACTGAGCAGCTCTATCTACTTTCAAATCTGGAGATTGGAACTGCTATTAATATGCATTATTAAAGACATCACACAGTAGTTCAGACTGCTCGTAGTAGGTTTACTTAAAGGGAAAAAAGGCTTTTTAAAAAGTTCATTATGATGTCACTAGAAGTATTGACACTTTAGGAAGGCTGTGCTGTGAAGTAATTGTTAATACGTTTTTAACTACTGTATTTTTTCGTCTAATAATCTCGCCCTAAGGAAAAGTTAGACTCACGTTTGAAGATGGCTTAGGACTGGTGGACTTTCATCTTTCAAACAGAACTTGCATTTTACTAGTTTCTGAAGCAGATTTGGTTGCAGGGGATGAATTCAAACGAAGATTGGTTAAATTTAGAAATGTAAGTGCTATATAAAGAGAACACTTTTCATTTGATATTTGTTTATTAAATGCTTCTGAAAACTTTCTTCTTGTGTTCTTATAAAATTCCATTGGAGCTGACCTTTTGGGATAATTTTCACCTGAAAACTGAAAAATCCTGCAGCTGTGTGATAATGCTATATTAAACCTCAGACCTGTTGCTGCAACTTATGTTCTTCCTCTGATTTGCTATCAGGCAGCTCATACTTGAAAAAATTTCTGTCACATTGCATTAACTTGTCATTAACGAGTTTTTTTTTCTAATGTCTTTTTGTTTTCAATACAGGGCAGCAGTCTTAAAGGAATTGTAATTGTAGAGAAAACCCAAATCAGTGATCAGTACTACTCAGGAGTACAAAAACTTGTTGTACTCGAACTTGGAATGGTGTTGCTTCCTGTGGCAAATCAAGGAGAAGCTTCTCAGCTCATTATTCAACTAGTAAGTTTCTATTATATTAAAATATGGGATGTATGGGAAAGCAGGTAGATATCTTCAATGATCATTTCAGAGAGAATACATAGGATCTTAAAGGAACACATCATCATTTGAATGTAAGGAATAAATCTGCAACAGTGATATGGTATTATAGTTCAGTGGAAAGAAGGCTCATTTAGGAGCAAAGGAAAAAGGATGAAGAATATGATCCTGGATTTTTTAAATGTAGTCTTGTACTGAGATACCAGTAGATAGCATTAGGCAAATGTTACTGTCAAAATCATTTGAGATTTTGCTTTCCCTAACGCTAGGGAAACTGGTTTTAAAGTGTTTCTTTTTACGCTTTCTCTGACTGCATCAAAAAAGTGACAAAAATAATTGTTTTCATTTGCTGTTGCTATAAGAAATTGCTTGTTTCCCAGTGAGATTTTGTCGAAGGGAGCACACCTAAGGGGGGAGCTCGTTTTTTCAAACCGCCTAGTGACTGCATGGAACTGTCTAGAGATGAAGCAGCGCTTTCCCAGAAGCGCTGGGTGTCGCTGACAGCTCTCTTTGTGTCCAGGTGCGGGAGCAGAGCCGGGATGGCCGTGCCAACCCTTTCTGTGGCAGGCAGCGCTGGCAGCTGGCAGAGCCCGCCGTGCTGCAGGCAGTGCAGCACATCCCCGGCGTCGGCAAAACAAAGGCGCTGCTTTTACTGCAGCGCTTCGGGAGCATCCACCGCCTGTGTAACACACCCGTCCAGGAGCTGGAGCAAGTCGTCGGACAGACAGTAGCACAACAGATTTATACTTTTTTACACTCCTGACAGGCATGTGCAGTGGTATTTTGCTTAGGTTTTTTCTTCTGAATGATAAAATTTTGGTTTTAATAAATATGTATTATGCTAATTTCTGTAATAATGGACTCTGATTCTTCTTTTTTTAAAATTAAGTAGTGCAAATTGCCTTGGAAAGAAGTCTGTAAAGTACTTTGCATCTGTCTGGAACAAAAAAAAAAAAACAAGAAAGTTGTCTTTTTCAGCATCTGTGTTAAAAAATGGAAGAGCAATATGCTTACTTTGGTCTTCCAGAAAAAAAACAACATATGAATATGTACATAGTAACTTCTCAGTAACTGGAAATAGGTTACATGTGTTTAAAAAGTTAGCTTTATATTATATATTATATTATATTATATATATTATATATTTATATTATATTGCTTTATAGTAACATCTTTGATTTATAACTTTTTTGAGTCCCTTTGGAAAGTCCTACTGGAATACAGGTTTGACTTTACATTAACTTATTTCTCTGGTCACCCCTCCAGTTCACAGGGCATTAATAAATTTATTCCCATGTGTCTGATACCCAAAATAGTGGTTAATTCATGTTATCCTTTTGAATATAGATTGGCATAATAATAATAAACTGCAGAATATTTTGATACAACCTTTAATATGTTAATTATACTATCAATTCTACTATAATACACACTACAAAGAAAATAATATGGGAAGCTTTGAGCAAAATTCCTAATTTATACTACTCTTCCAGTGTTAATATTTTGAAAATTCACTTGTAAAGAGGATTGGTTTTCCTGACATTTTGCATTTTGTTTTAAGTTACATTCATATCCTATTTTCTAAGGGTAAAATTGCCTTTTTCCTTGAGGAGGTGTGTGGAAAGCATCTTTCATACCACTTGGGAATTTGGATCACAGCAGGAAGGCAGCTGAGTAGGATTTTCCACTCCCTTTTGTGGGATCCTTGACACTTCTGAAAGTCATCTCTGACACTGATTAGCATGGACAGCAGGTGCACCTGTTATTTATATTGATTCTGTACTTGGGATGAAAATTTGTCTGTGGCTTAGACATGACTATTTCATTTAGTGAATAAACATCAGAATTTCCAAAAGTGTGGAAAAAGATACTACTTTTTTATCAGGCATCTAGGGAGTACTTTAAGCTTCTTTATACATGGGTTTGCTCAGATTTTATTCCCTCTAAGGTTTTGTCACGTTACTATGAAGACTGGATTTCACATCTAAAGGCATATGGCTGTTATGCTGCAATGCACCTTTTCCCTATGGCAAATGGCCATCTGCTTAGGCCATTAAAGTTCAGTTGAAGTAATAACAATTAATATTAATGGAGTTACAGGCTGAACTACTCATCTATTGCTAACCTTTCTTTTTAGGGCTTTACAGCAACCTTATACATCCTTGTGGGTAGACACTTGTAACAAGAATTCCTGTGGTCTGAGCAATAGAAGGCACACACTCGTTTCACTGCAAGTTAAGTTAGCTGTTGGCTACCACTCAGTGTAGAATGAGGTAACAGAAAACTAAGAGTATTTGTATGGCACCTGGGAGATCCAGATTTTTACTTAAATTGAAGGGTGTATTTTAAATTTAAAAAGCCAAGCTTTCCATCCAAATGTGATGATGGGAAGGGAAAGACAGTTATTCAGGAGCTAAGAGGGACAATATTTCCAGGAAGACTGTCATAGTGGTTAAAGAGAAATGAAGAGCTGGAAGGGCGATTGCTGTGACTTTGCTAAGGGTTTTGTTACTTGGATAACAATTTGAGTACACAAGTGAGGTAAATCTCATGTGCATGGAATGCTGTATGGCAGGGGTGTGCAGATCAGTGGCTGGCTGCTGCTTGTGTGTGTGAAAGAAACACTACTGCACCAACACATGTCAAAAATTATATGGATAGGCAAGTCACAAGTAATTTACAACTTTTTTTTTATATAACCTTTATAGGGGAAACTAGAAGCATGTTTAAAACCAACTTCCTTACAAAGAGTGTAAACTCTTAGTTGATATTGAGCAATACTGGAACATTTAAGAAAAGTTTCTTAGATCTCTGTTAGCAACATTAGAGAAACACACAAGAGGTATGGCAACAATAAATAGCAAAAACCTGTAAATTATGCTGTACCATCCAAGCTGCAGCAGAATCAAAGAACTACTACTAAACGGCAGCATCTGATTTTTATTCTTAAATAAGGTCAAGATATTTACACCTACTACATAAGAAATTAAAAATAAACGACAACTTCAAAGTTTACACCAAGATGCAGATTTTCATGTAAATTTTAACTATCTATCTACTCTGTAGATGGCAATGTTCATTAACACTACAGTGTTAGCAATTTTTAATTAATTTCAGGAAATAGAAGAATCTCTAAGAAATGCTCACCAGTTATTTTTTGTCCCCCTCCTCACTATAGATACAGCTTGCTCATGAATTTTTCCAAGGACAGAAGGATTTTTTTTTTTGCTTGATGTGATAGTAAATAAATATCCTGCCACTTAGCCACTTAGCACGAGCACTCTTTTTTCGTATTTTAAAGCATCACTGTAATTTATGTGCCCCTGAATCAATGTATTATATGGCCCATTTTGAGATTTATTTCACAGCTATCCATTTTATCAAGACCAATGAGATACAAGTCTTAAGGTAAGTAGGTTAAATAATGTTTGGAATAAAGCCTATTTTTACCAATTGAATCATCAGGCATTTAAAATGTTACCTACATCAGAAAAAGAACAGAGTAAAAGCCTTTTGGAATTCAAAAGACCTTTTAAATTTTATTCCTTCTAATTACCTTCCAGAATTAAATTACCTATTCAGTAGGCTACACCTAATACTCTGAGGAAGCATCTCTGCATAAAAACACAACTCTATGACACTGCCCCTTGGCACAAGACTACTTTCTCTGAATAATATTATTCCCTCTCACCTGTGGTTTAAGATAATTCTTTAAAGTAGTGTTAAGTGATTTATTATTGAGTCTAAACTTTAAGACCAAAATCATTCTTTAATGTGTCCCCTAATATTCTGCATTCAGCATCAGGTTTGTAATAAATAACTCCCATCTAGCATAGTTATGACTATTTTTATGAAAAATCAGTCATAACTGTATTTTGAAATTCCAAAGGAATCCAGTCGTCGTGTAATCAATTCTATAATCTACATCTGGCTACTGCATACCTCCCAAAACACTTCATTGTAACCTTCAAATACTTCAGCTTTACAGTTTCTGCCAGCTTCTGACCAGAAGTGGTCAATGCACAGCAAACGAAGTCAACAGTATTTGTCTGAGTTTATACATACAGATATTAAGGTAAAATGGATGAATATTTTTATCTACATTTTAAACAAAAGTCACATTAACAGATACTTCTGAAAGATTCAGTACAACGAACTTTCTGTATTGAAAAGTGTGAAGGGAGAAAGCTTCTTCTTAATCTGAGAACTTCCAGCCACAGCTGAAGGCAGGCAGAGTGTACTTGCAGCTTTCTGTCTGTTTTTAGTTCCCCAGCTTAGAAAAGGGAGTTTTAGTGGAGCTTTCTTGGTCTGATCAATTTTATCCTCGTCCATGGCTAAACAGATTAAGGAGTATGTCTTCTGCATTCCCATAGAGTAAGTTGCACTCTTGCTGTGCTGTACGAAAAAGAGAAGCATTGTAAGAATCAGTCATCCAAAATGGGTCAAAATTTTGACAATAACAAAAGGTTACTGTGCAAATAGTTTTCCAGGGCAGACTGCAGCAAGCTTTCTGTGCTACTGCCATTACTAAGTGGCCCCTCAGAATGCTGTGATCCTGGTATTTTGCAAATGTGCATTCAGGGGTATACTCTGCAAAGCATAAAGGAACTTGTGAATCTTTTCTTGGGCTCTTAAATACTTACTGCCTTCTAGCATAACTATTTAATATACACAGTAACCTCCCTACAAAGCTCAAGTATGTAGTTCTTGCACAGATGGGGAGTCCTTTTTGCTGTCTTTGGACAGGTTCTGTGTTGATCACAACTCTTAAAGCTCCTGTGTGACATTCTCTTGGGATATCTGAAAGGCACAGCCTTATCTGTCTCCTCTTAGCTTTGCCCTGAAGCAATTTGATTATATTCTAGCCTTTTCTTTCCAGCTGCAACTTGAAATGGCAGATGTGTAATTTCTTATTTTCAGTAAGGAAAACCTATTTTAACAAAACAAGAAAACTAAACAGCACCAGGGGCATCTTAATAGCTTATCAGGCAACACTACTCGAGTGTCTAAGCTTGCCAGGGAATGTTAAAAGCATGAAGCAGTGGATTTAGCTGAGCTACAAGTTCTTTCACACAACTAGTAAGTTATTTAGAGCTTAGTATTTTTTTAATCTTGTGATGACTTTCCCTTAGTCTAAAGCTTCTTCAGTAGCTTAGTAACTAACTAGACAGTTAAAAGTTCACAAAAAAAATAGATACAATAATCTGTGATCTAATACAAAAGACACAGATCATTAGAATAACAGTGCATAGAAAATAAACGTGGTCTTGGATGTTCTGTTTCATTCCATTATTGTTTCATTGTGGTTTTTTCAGTGCTGAGCAAGATAATGCCTTCATACTCTGAGACAAGTTAGGGGAAATAAATTATGTATTCATGTATTTAATCTAAGTAGCTCCACCACCAGAAAGCCCACCACCCAACCTTTCTTATGCAGACTACTTTAGCTTGCTAGGTCACAATGGTTTAAGCTGATGGTTTAAAACTGAACACATATCTGAATGTTTTATATATTCACAGGTTGAGTGAGATATCTGACTACATGAAAGTAAGCATTAATCAGGAACTGAAGGCAGGCAAGTGAAAAAACTCTAGCATACCAAATATGCAAAACCTCTTTGCCTCATTACATACCAAAGATGCCGCTGTATCCTGGCAGCTGATAACCTCGAGCTCCACGGGCTGCTTTCCCACATTTCTCAATTTTTCCAGCACCTCGTTCACACCAAGCCACTTGCAATCCATGCCACCAACTGAGACAATGTAGTCACCTTCTTTTAGGCCTGCTGACTGTCAAAAAATTTGGCACAGGTTATTATCTG